ACCGGCTCTCGGCGGAGCGCCCAGGGAAGAAAGCCGAGGGGCGGAACTTCTGGCCTTCTGGGATGACTACCTACCAGACTACCCCAACCCAACCCGAAGACCCGAATTTCGGGTTGGGGGGGGTATGGGCTCCATACGTGTTTTTTCGATGTTCCTGGACCCCCCCCCACTAGAAATCGAGGGTAAATCTGAGCCTTCGGGTTGGGTTGGGGTGGTTTGGTGGGCGGTGACCTTCTGGGAAGCCACAGAGGGCTTCCCAGCGGGTTGGGGGGCTCCTGAGAAGCCCCGCCGCCTTCGGAGGAGGCCTGCCCCCTCTCGCTTCCCCCTCCGGTGCGCCGCCGATGAGGAGGAAACGACCAGCGTAGAAGAAGAGCAAACAACACACACATAAACGTTTGGCGCTCCGCGCGGCGTTCTTGGATTTGCGCTGGGCCCCCCTCCCTGGCGCGCGGAGCGCGCCAGGGGCGGCGCCAGAGGCGCCGCCGGGGGGGCCCAGCGCGGCTCCAAGAAATCCGCGCGGAGGGCTAAAAGCTTGATTATGTTATGGCGTTTTCTTCCTCGAAAGAGGGGGGACTGGCTCATGAAGGGAAAACAACATCGCCCTGGACTCGGCGATACCTGAGCCTGGTGAGCTGGCCGCCCTTGTTGAGCAGAGACCGACCGCCCCGGCATTCCTATAGGCCTACCGCGACACTTTCTTAGAATCCAAACATGCTCTAAGAACCGAAGCAATCTTTTTCGAACATAAACCCGACGTGTTAAAACAAGACAGCCGCGGCCAGAAATGTTCTACGAACAGGAGCCATCGAGCTTGGACAAGCGCGTTGCACTCCTCGCAGATCCACTGCTCGCAAATGGCCTGGATCCGTCGCGGGGGATTTACTGTACATTACATAGGAGGAAGACGTGTGTGTTTCCTGACGTTTGCGAGTAGGCACTTTGCGAGTAGTGGAGCGCGCTCGGCGAAAGCTGGAATCGGCGACACAGTGGAGGCCCATGCCAAGAAGCACCCTGCTTGCCTCCAGGGTGCCCTGGGTTCCTTGGGTGTCGATGGTGTTGCTGTGGAAGGCGTGGCGTTCCCGCACCGGACCTCAATGCAAGTCCTGAGGTCTCAGGGTTGGTTTTCTTGTGGAAGGTTTCTTGTGTTAGGTTGTGCATGTCCTCCTATCCAGGCTGATCTTGAAGGAGCACTGGAACATATTTTCCAAACAGACTCACGCATGGTCGAAAACAGTCCAACCATCGTCCCCAGATGATCTTCTTGACTATTTCTGCACATTCCTCCTGTAGAGGCACACGCCCGACTCCATTCTTGTGGGTCCGCCTCCCCTGCACGCCGCCGACAGGGCGGCGGCGGGCCCCCGACAACGAGACAAAAACAAAGAACGCATGCCCCTCGGCGGGGGGGGGGCCCCCCTGCCGACGACGGGGCGATGGGGGCCCCCCTGCCGACGTCTCTCCCTCCTGACGAGAGGGCCCAGGGAGACACAAGTAAATGGACACATATCCTAGGCTTTTTCACTTCTTGAGCACAGATCCCAGGACACAGGTAGGTAGGCACAACTCTTAGGTCGGGCATGTCCCCCTGCAGGCGGACGTTGGACGAAACATCGAGCATACCAGAAATATGTTCAAACATGGTCCACAAAATACCGTCCCCAAACTAGTTTGGATTATTTTTGAATTTTCTTCCTGTAGAGAGACGTGCCCGACTTAACACAAATCCGAAGATTTCCAATTATACGTTCTAGATAGTTTCTGGAGTTTCGTCTTCCCCTCCACTTCACACAAGTTCGATGTTTCTATTGAGACGTTTACGGGTGTCTGTGTGTGTCTGTGTGTTTTTTCTCCTCCTGACCTGAGCCTCTCCCCCCTCACCCACTTCCCCCTTGGGCCCCTGGGCGCGCCGCTGGGACTCCAGGTCAGCACGCGCCTGCCATCTGCAGAGGAGCGACAAAAACCACATAA